CCAATTACTGGGTAGCGACAGATTGCGCAGCTCTTTTGTATAGAAGGGTACAAAAGGAATAATTTGCTACGTCATCACTACTATTCCGGTTTAAAGAAAAGCATCCAATTTATCAACAGAAGAAATCTTTTTTTAATATTATATTACGTTATTATGCCGTTTTGTCCAACTATCAATTGTGTAAATGCAAGAGGGAAGTATGGGAAGAGATTTCCTTAAAATACCAGATCCATTGAAATCTAACAAGAAACGGAAACTCTGCAAACTCGCACCATTCCTACAGTATCCGAACTACAGCTTCTGAATATGCTTATGCAGCTCGATTTCAATTTTCAATTCATAACAGTTAAATGAGTGAGCTCAGGTTCAATGTTGTAAGCAACAAGACCCATCTGATTTTGGCTACTTTCGTTTCCATCTCGGTGTGTAAATAAATTTTTGGAAAGTTGCAGATGCTTGGACAGGTAAAATCGAAACAGTAGGTGTGACGTTACGGATAATACACGAATGGCTGTCTATATGGAGGCAGGAATTTGATTATTACAAAATATTGATTTATTTCATAATTTTCAACACAAATATTGCTAGAAATATATTAATATACTAGTAATAATTTTCTATTATTCGATGCAAATATTTTTTTTTATTTCTCTCTCCTTTAAATTTACTCTCAGAAATTCGTGTTTTACATAATATATATAAATATACACTTAACCTAAGCATCTGAATTAAAAAGTCAGATTTGTAATAATTGATTTTTGAAAATTTTTAGAACTTAAACGAAAGAAGTTAAAAACCAATTTTTCACAGAACAATTGAAGGTCTTTTCATTTTACATGTTGATAATAAAGTTTTAAAAGAACTTTTATACAAATCTGCAAAAAATATCTTACTAACAAAAAAAATCGTCTTCCTAAATATAAACGGCTTCAGAAGGTAAATTGTATTGCATAGAATTCAAAAATATATAGTTGGTAGTTCTTTTTTCCAAATAAGGGAGGTGATCAGTTACTTCCGTTTCAAAATGTCACTTTCAGAGTCAACTGATAGCTTACTTTTCTGTTTACAAAAACATTTGGTTTCTACGTATTTCCCTTTAAAATAAGAGAGATAGTTTTCTACTTCCGGTCTACACAATACTACTTCCGGTGTCATATAATAGCTAACATTACACTGATTAGAAATGTTTCAATATACTTTTGCTTGAAATGAGAGAAATAATTTGATTCTTCCGGTTTACAAAATATCATTTTCGGTTCATATGATAGAACACTTCAAAGTGATTCGAAAAATATATGGTGTCTCGGTACTTCAATATGAAATAAGTGCAAAAACCTAATTTCGCTTTACACAATGTCATTTCTGGTTGACGTTAAAAATCATGTGTGGTCCAAACTCATACAAAAGACCTTAAAGCTGTATCATGTACAAGTAGGAAGTTAAGGCAAAGGTCAAAATCTAGACCTCAGTATCAAGGTTAAAGATAAAGGATCACAAATCTAAAGACCCCAAGTCTCTAATATGTATGAATAACAAGTTATCCTACCAAACAACTTATTTTGAAAATTTAAGGGGAAAAACTCCTAAAAAGGTCACCAGAGCACTTAGACTCCTATGTATTGGCATTGGGTCAAGTCGTAACATTCAAATTGACAAAACATTATATCTGTAACTTTAACACTTTCTGAGGAGTTGTGAAATTTAGATCATGACTTTGACTTTTGACCTTGAACCTTGAACCTTGACCTTGAGAAGCGATAACAGGAAAACATTTAACTGAGAGATAACTCCAATGCGGAAATGTGTTCGGTTAACACGGCGAGTGTCCACAGCACAATTACTGTTCGATATCATATACAAAATTTGCTAAACAATAGCGACATTTCAGAAACAAAATTGGGGGGAGAAGAAGAAAAATAATCAGAACAAATCAAAAGGTCTTTTCATAGTAGTGGAAAGACCTTAAATGTGGAATTGTTAATACAAGAGAAGATGTTCCGAGACAAAATACGCCACCACCTTCAAAGTACAAAAGTATATACAAAATCCATACGGAAACTTTGAATACATTCTACCACAATTACACTCCGTCGATAATGCTATAAATCCAATCGAATATAAATATTTTTAGATGAGAACATCCTCGAGCATTTTCAGTTTAAATATTCAACTCCCCTAGAATGTATACTTCATGCCCAGTATACATTTGGCGAGGAATCACACTAGACAGTTCAATAAAGTGTTTTTTATACGAGTTAATGCAACTTTTGGTATTTGAAATGTTTCATGTTACCAAGACAAAGTTAAACTATCATTAGTCATTTCATTATTAATCGGTGATTTCGTCATGTATATTTATGAACGTTGTTCCACAATATTTGATTAATTCTAAACATAGAATAAAATAATAATTAAGTGTATGGAATCGTTATATTCTATAATTTTTTGTATAGAAGTCTAGATAGAATCAGTAAAACTTTCTTTTGAAAGATCATTTGCCTTATTTAATGAACTTCTAAAGCCAAAATTACTTTAGACTTTGCAGAAGATCATATTTTATATTCTGATGTGTGGATTGAATTCGGAAATACAACTTCCTTGATGTCTTCTCTTGTTTCATTGAGCTTCTATTGGAATCGATACGGAATTAGAACCCTCTAAAAAGTAAAATAACAAACTCCAAGGGATATTCAAAACGGAAAGTGCGTTATCAAATGGCAAAATTAAAAGCTCAAACACATCAAACGAATAGTTTTACTGTCCTACTGTGTGGAATCAACTCGGATGTTTTCTCTATTTTGACCATGGTGATGTACAGAATCAAATTGGAAACAGATTCATTTCGATATCTTTATTATTTTTTGCAGTCTTGCTGTTTGGATTAACCCGAAATACAGCCATATAGATGCTTTCTTAATGTTTTATCAATTTTTACTGTGCTGCATTGTGGAATCAACTCGAAAATACAGGGATCTTAATGTCTTCATTATTTTACTGTTCTTCTGAATGTAATTAATTCTAAATTCCACAACTCTATATGTCTTCTCTTGTTTCACTGTGTTGCTGTATTAAAACAACTTGGAAATACAGTCCTTTAGATCTCTTGTCTAGTTTAGCTGTGCTGCAGTAAGGAATCAACTCGAAAGTACATCCCTCTATGTGTCTCTTTTGGTTTAACCTTGCTGTTGTGTGGAAACAATTAGTAAACACATCCCTCTTCATGTTCTCTCAAGTTTTACTGTAATGCTTTTTGAAATCAACTCGGAATTATTGCCTTTTGGTGTTGCTTCTAGTTTTGCCGTGCGTCTGTGTGAAATCCATTCAGAAATACAGTTCGATAGATGATGTTTTTTTCTTGTTTTACTATGCTGCTATCTGGAAAAATCTTGGAAATACAGCCCGTTATATGTCTTTTTCTGTGCTGCAGCGGGGAATCAACCCTGAAATACTTCATTTCAGATATCTTTACTAGGTTACTGTGCTGCTGTGTGGATCAATTTGGAAATAGAGCCATATAGATGTTTTCTCTAGTTTTACTGTGGTGCATTGTGTGATCAACTTGGAAATACAATCATTTAGATGTCATCTTTAATGCACGTTACACCTTCTACATTATTATCTAGGACTAGATAAAAGTCACAAGAATATATACCATAATCAATAGCGCATTTACTCCATTTACTGATTGAGTAGACATTCATGTAATCAATAATTTGGTAAACACCTCTTGAATGTATATAATTACAAAGTAAAATTTGATCAAACATCAATTACATTTTTCATCGTTTGAAAACACATGTACACAGGAGTGATGATGAGGGAGCGACGCATTTGTTTTCATTAAGAAGTATATATTGTCAAACATTTCAAGGGAGAGTTGGTTTCGCTACCCATTCCTCTGACGGGACTGATGAGGCAAAAATTATTAAGAACCCTTTCAGCCAGAAGTGTAGGCCTCGGAAAGCTGCTCTCGGATGTAGCCCACCACTTTAAAGGATATATCTCGGGACTTTGATAATATTTCCATCCGGAGGATTTTGGAGATATTTTAAATGACAATTTAGCACAATTATACGTATTTTAACAATGAATAATCATGAAAAGAAGGAGACGATGTTCGAACAGAAAAAATATTAGGTATTTTGGTATCCAACACGCGATATAACCGAAATATTCGCGATATCTCGTTGACATCCCTTTTTTATGTCATTGCAGAAAGAAAAAAAATAATTGTAGATACTTTGTAATCAGATTCACAATTATGTTATCAAAGTAATGTTGAACAAATCAGTAAATAAAGTATAACAAAAATACCGAACTCCAATGTAAATTCGAAAAGGGGAAGTCTTCTAAAAACAGACAAAATCAAACTTTAGACTTTTTAAACCAACAGAGCGAATGGAAACAACTGTCATATTTCTGACTTGGTACAGAAAAGAGAGGCAAAAGATACGAGTTGGACATTCAAACTCGTAAGTCGAAAATATACTGACAACGCCATGGCTGAAAAAGAAAAAGACCAACAGACAAACAATAGCACACAAAACACAACATAGAAAACTAAAGACTGAGCAACACAAACCCCACCAAAAACTGGGGGTGATCTCAGGTGCTCCGGAAGGGTAAGCAGATCCTGCTCCATATGTGGCACCCGTCGTGTTGCTTATGTTTGTACAAACCCGGTAATAAGTCTAATTCTTTAGGTCAAATTCGAGAAAAGGGCGGACGGGATTGTAGTTACGACATTAGGAACATATCCGCTATCATCTGTGAAACGGATATTCCATAACGGTCAACCAACTCATGATGGCGTCCGTAAAACTTACGAAGGGATGATTTCAACTTCACGAATTGGAACTGTTGGTTTAATAGCTTCCTAGTAAGCTACAGCCATTTTCCGAAGTACATGGCTAGCTTACGGACACGGTCTATGTCACAAGTAACACCTGCTATACTATTAAAATACTTTACTGAATGCATGGATATTTTTTTTATTTCAGGTTTACCAACCAACCCACCCGGTATGTATCAACTTGTGAAAAAAAGCAAAAAGAGGTTGATTATTTTATATGAATTCGAATAGAAATGGTCATAACTGTAGAACATTATTCAAATGAGTATGAAAATGGTTTTAACTAAATTTACAGGGTACTATTAAATTTATAAAGCTTTTTTCTTAAAAGATAATTAAATTATGTCCCTGTTTCTCTCATAGAAAAAAGCGATATTCTTTGTTATAAAAGTACCGATACTTTTTATCAGTGTACAAATAAGCTCTGTTCCAATGGCTTTTTTTAATATATAAAAACTCATAAAAGATACAAGGCTTAGCTCAGAAAGACAGATGATTGTTTCAACTACAAAAAAACTTATAAATGTATCTCGGGTCAAATCAAACACATGGCCGAATCAATAACAAATTTGACGAATATTGAAAACCAGAAATTTCATAATACTACGCCAAATCTGCAAAAGCCATCTATATCTTGGGTTAAGGAAACCTTCAGGTTATGATTGATTTTAATAATGTATGAACACTCTATTTCTAAAAACGATATATGCAAAAGCATAGAAAAGCTCGTTTTGAACAATTAAACCACGAAAGAACATAAAATGCATAAAAAAGAAAATATCTTCAATATTGCACTTTATTTCATTTTACAGAAACGGTAACAAGATATTATTGTTACGAAGCTGTTCCTGGTATCCTTGTTTTTGGTTGGGACGAAATGCCATGTACTGTTTATGTTGGACTGATAGGGTTACTGCTTGTCTTCAATTTTATATTTTGTCTTTGTTGTTGTTTCCGTAAAAAATCAGACCCTGAAGATGACATGCATGGAAGAGGAAGAAGGAAATTTCAAAGAGAGTAAGTGTAATCACATAGATAAAGAGGAAGTAGTACGATTGAAATATAACTAAGTCAAATAATTATAAAAAATAACTCGTCAAAGATTAAACAACAACAAAAAATGAAAATAATAACAAATAAGTATAAAAATAGTACGAACAGAAAATAATGAGACAATGGTGAACGGAAAGGAAATTAAAAAATATTTTCAAAAATAATGTTTCACTTAGTCTAGAAACATACAAGACCATTATTGCAAACTAAGTTCTAAATATTGGTATCGGCATATTATAACAGCATTCGTAGAATTCAACAAAAATCAAATCAAACGCAACACATTGATTATATGTTCGTCATTTGAACTATGGTTGATAGTTGTCTTTTTGCAATCATACCACATCTCCTTATTTTTATATAAAACGCAACAAAGCAAACAACAAAATACAACAAACCAAAAAAAAATCTGAAAAGAAAAATATGCTGAAAAACTTATTTAGTTATATACTCCACTCGTATACTTTCATTTAAAAATGTATTTATGAAAGGCAAATGAATTTGAGCATAGAAATAATATAATACTTCAGAATCGATGATACTTAGTACCAGTTTTGGCATCGTGTCACCCTCTTGGGATAATCCATTAGCAGCGGTACCGACACAGTGATAAAAATTATGACATGATTTACAATTCTCCTGTTCACGCAGTTTTCGAGAACATCGTCATCAATTATGCTTTTGACCAATACTTTTTCAAAGCAAAAACCTTATACGTTTTTCACTTATAAGTCAAGTATAAGCACAATTCCATATCTTTATCACTTTAGACGTTTAGACAAAATATAACCTTTTCAAATAAAGAAAAGGTAAGGTACAGTAAATCAGCTATGGTATTTTTAAATAAATGAATAAATATTCTATATCAGTATATTTTAGGTGAAAATAGTATGGATACTATTACCATAAAAACTTAAAACGTTTTCATTTGGAAAGTTAAAATTATTAAAGATACTTCACTTATTATCTAGCACGACTATCTATATTTGAAAAAAGTGTTTTATCCTCACGTTCGGTCAAAACCATCATGCAATTGGAATCAATGTACAAAAATTGCTCAATGATATACTCTTTAAAACTGCGACATTCTTTTCAAACATATATTTTTCCAATGTCAACTGTCTTGAGAGGTACGTCTACACAAATAATGTATCTAAAATTTCTTTGTTAACGTAGGAAATACAAGTTTTTAATGTCGAAAGACAATGTTGACGTTTACCATTAATATTTATTTTTGGCATGCCTCCTAAACCCAATTTTTTAGATTATTGCTTAATTATAATAAAAGTATGCCAAAAAAATGAGGGGGTTAACTATTATGTAATATTTGTGTCAGAGATGAAAACGGATATCTACCAATGTTGTAGCCATTCTACAGGCTCTACTAACCCTTCCGGAGAACCTGATATTACAGTTTTGTGGGTTATGTGATGCTCAGTCTGGTATTTTGTATAGTATTCAGACTATTAATTGTCTTTTCGCCGTTTTTCAATTTTTGCCATGAAATATCTCTTCGACTTCTGAGTTTTGAATCTCCTTTTTGAGTGGTTCTAATAAAGGTACATAAAGCAAACATATTGACATATACAAAAATACTATTTATAATGTTTCAGTAACACCTCTAAATGCACGCATAGAGTGGTGTAAACACGGTATGACTATTGTGGCTTTTATGATTAGATCTTGCAGCCCCAGGTTTTTTTTAAATTAAGTTCGGAAAATCCTAAATCTTTTCACAAAACTAACATCTACATACATTAAACATCTGTACAAATTTTACATGAAATATTTCAATTGTAGTGGTAAAGGTCGTAATGATTACAATGACGAGGAAAGATTTTTCAGAAAACGCTAATTTGGAACAAGCGAATAAACCATCAAATAAGAAAAATATCAAGTATTGAGGGAAAACATCATTCATACGCATTAATTAACATTACGCATTCTACCTTTCTAGAAATTCGGTCGCACCTTCATATGACACGGATAGCTGCTATAGTCTTGATAATGAAGACAGGAAATGGAAAGATCGTGGTAATATCACAGCACGTGACATATTTATAACATCACCATGTCCGAGTGAATACCCGCCTGACTATTTTGACGACTCAATATTCCCACCACGTAAAATGACAATTATGCCAAGAGTAGGAAAAAATATAAAAGCTGAAAATAAAGCAAAAGACGAGGAATATTACACTGACGCAGGAGAAATAAACAATGGTGCTATTAAAGAAGACGATTGTGATAGTGTATATCATTCTGATGAATCACCCCCGATAACACCAAGCACAAAAAGAAAAATTAAAGTCGAACCTTTACAGTTGTCGGATCTTGACGACAAAATTCAAACTAAGTCAAATCAACAGGTCTCAAATAAACGAGTAATACCAAAACATTCCAAACAGAAGAAAGAAAAATCTACTAATGAAGATAGCACATCCAAATCAAATTTTAACGAAGATAAAATACCAAAAGGGGACAGGTTTCAAAAGAAAAAAATAGAAGAGAAGAAAGGTTCCAATCGAATGCCTCCTGAAAGCCCTTCTTATCGTTCGACTGACACACATAGACAATCAAGAGGGAGTCGAAAACCCAAATTCAGTCCTTCATCAAGCGATTACTCAGATGACGAACACTCCTACGACGAGAACGGTTTAGGATACGATGAAAACTCGTTGTCTGGCAGCAACACAGAAAGTGATCAAAGTACATCCCTCGAAAAAGAATCAAAAACAGAAATAAAACGTAAACCCGTCGCAAATTTACAAAATTTACATGCTTCGCAAAATACAAATAAATATAACGTTATGGAGAAAATTCCTCACGATATGAAACATTCGCCCCATGATCTCGATCAGTTGTATTTGTGTCGGTTGAGGAACCCAACAAAGATGAAACGTGTTGCATCAGACATCATAACCATGAATAGAGGAATAAAAAATATGCAAAATAGACAACTACCTAAAAACAATAGTCTTCCTGAATTCAATGCACACCATTGTAATAATTCAAGGCAAAATGATAAATATGAACAAATCAATAAACCAAATAGTAGCGGACAACCACCACAATTTGTTAACTACAAAGAATACCCCGATAGAGATTCAGCTTACACAAATCGTGGACTTTCTGACGGCAATTATAACGATATATCTCAAGATAATCCCGATAATTCTGAAAATACATATAGACGGCCAGACAGAGTTTTTAACATCAATGTTACACCACAAAATTCTGACGAAGACAATCAGCTACAACAAAAATTGAATTTAAGTAATGTTAATGCTGAAGATTTGTCAAGAGGAATGCATAAAAGCATGAGTGCTCCAGACTTTAGAAAACAGGACGATCCATATGAATCGATGTTAAACAAAAGGGAAGAAAAGTTTCAAAACAATATCCATGGCATGCATGGGTCATCTCAGATAACGGAACCCGTCGATAATTACAAGGCGCCAGGCATTCATCAAGAAACTGTTAAACGTCGCTCGAGCCCTTCACAGCTTCAGAAAAGAGGAGAGCTAGATGATCCAACCAGTTTTAATATATACCCTGTAAATGCTAGCAAGAAAGGAATAGCAAGTGAAAATGAATTAGAAGAACCAAGAAAGCAATCGCAACCGGAGAGGAACATCGGACATCCAGAAATAAGCGAGCCATTATATTATTCGTCTGTTCCAGGTATATCTAACGAAACTGCTAAGTATAGAGAGGGTCCTGAACAGGGGACGCAATATCAGAATCCAAGTAACAACAAAGACCCAAACCAAGAAAATATTGGTAAACGAGTACGTACTATGATTAATCCAGAGGAAGACTTCGCTATCTATAAAAAAAAACATGATACTAATAATGATGGAATAAAACCGGATAATTCACAGCCTAATAGAGGTATTCTAAAGAAATACACAGGATCGGGAAGTAATCCTCTCAAAAAGGACAAAAGAAATGCTCATCCAATATCTAAAGCCCCGAATCAACACGGTAGGAATTCTCTCAACGATTCAGCAGTGCCAGGCATATCAGAAGAAAGTGCAAGATTTCGAGACATTCCATTAAGGCAAGATAATGAAGACCCCTATAAAACAAGCAATGGAAAAAATAGAAAAAATTATCCAGATGATAGCAAACCACAAAGTATTGCGGATGAACAACAAAGTCAGTCAGTCAGGCCTATTAATGGCCAAACTTCAAATATGCCGGCTGGGTTTGATTATGCACCTAGTAAGACAGCAGGAAAAAATGTAAATAAACCGAACGAGAATAGTTACCTAAATAAACCGTCCGTTTCAAACCATACTCCTAATGACACTTCAGAGCCTGTTGAATTGGATGACCCAAATATTAATGTAGTGATGAAAATGTCAACTTATCAAAAAGTGCTTGATTTCATAAATTTGCTGAAAAAACCGAAACCAAAATAATTTAAACTTTGATGAATTATATCGTTTGTATGAGTGTTTACAACGTTTAACTTGAACATGGATACGTTTAGTTTAAATAATCATTTAATTCCGTTTTCTCTATTTAGAACACATGGTATCATTTGAAAGTTAAACATTTTCCCTGGAAACATTGCAACAGATGCATGACTCATTACCATCATATTTCATGTGATACACAACCTGAATAATACATTTACTAAAAATTTTAAAAATCGGACAAGTTCGATTACATTTGTTTTAATGGGGAGAAAAGTAATTTGCTTTTCTTGTTTACAGCACCTGTTTCTTGAATAATTGTCATCATGTTCTCTTTAGGTGGTATAAAGTAAAATAACAAAAATACCGAACTCCAAGAAAAATTCAAAACGGAAAGTCCCTTATCAATTGGCAAAATCAAAAGCTCAAACACATCAAACGAATGGAAAACAACTGTCATATTCCTGACTTGGTACAGGCATTTCCTTATGTAGAAAATGGTGAATTAAACCTGGTTTATAGGTCTCTCTTTAAAACACATTTT